GTCCTTTTCTGTGTAACTAGGGAGCATTTGGAGAATCAGCTCTTAGCTCACAAAGAGGAGGCCTCCAGAGTGGAGCCGTCTTTGACTGGCATTGAGGGACACCCACATAGGGCATGCTGGACTGACTGATACCTGCTGCACTTGCCGTCTGGGTTTGTGTCCTCATCTGGGCTTGGCCAGACCCCATGTCTCCAACAAACTGGTGGTCTCCCAACTGAGAGATCTGGGAAGAAGCCAGCCAGGCGCGGTGGCTCACACCTACAATTCCAGCACTCTGGGAGGCCAGAGCAGGCGGATCACCTGAGGTCAGGTGTTGGAGACCAGCCTGGCCAACATGGTGAAAACCTGTCTCCACTAAAAATACAAAAAGTAGCCGGGCATGGTGGTGGTGGACGCCTGTAATCTCAGCTACTCGGGAGGCTGAGGCAGGAGAATCGCTTGAACCCAGGAGGTGGAGGTTGCAGTGAGCTGAGATCACACCATTTTACTCCAGCCTCGGCAACAGAGTGAGACCCCATCTCAGAAAAGAAACAAAAGCCCAAACAAGCAAGGCTGTTCCTTTAGACCCGACTGCCCTGAAAACAAGAACTCTGGCAGCCCTTTGCCTCTGTCTGTCTCAGGCCGTGTTTTTGGGGCCCAGGGGCTCAGGGCTATTTGTCAGCCTCACCAGCACATGTGCAGTCACCCAGACGGGCTGCGTTGTGTCCGACTGTGTCTTTTTAATTCAGTTTGCTGCTTTACTGAGTATGACAGGTCCCTTTCAATGCTCTTTGAAAACTGTAACCTTAATCTAAAATAAGGTACAAAAAAGCTCTTTGTTAAAAACTTTTTTAGGACAGGTCTCACTCTCCTGCCCAGACTGAAGTGCAGTGGCATGGCCACAGTTCACTGCTGCCTTGACCTGGGCTCAGGTGATTCTCCCACTTCAGCCTCCGGAGCACCTGAGACTACAGGTACATGCCACCATGACAGGCTAATTTTTTTTTGAGACAGAGTCTTTCCCTGTCGCCAGGCTGGAGTGCAGTGGCGCAACCTTGGCTCCACCTCCTGGGTTCAAGCAATTCCCCTGCCTCAGCCTCCCGAGGAGCTGGGACTACAGGCGCACGCCACCACGCCCAGCTAATTTTTTGTGCTTTCGTAGAGACGGTTTTTACCAGGTTGGCCAGGATGATCTCGAGCTCCTGTCCTCGTGATCTGCCCACCTCAGCCTCCCAAAGTGCTGGGATTACAGGTGTGAGCCACCGTGACCGGACGACAGGCTAATTTTTTTTTTTGAGACGGAGTCTTGCTTTGTTGCCCAGGCTGTAGTGCAGTGACAATCTTGGCTCATGGCATCCGCTGCCACCTGGGTGTAAGCAATTCCCCTGCCTCAGCCTCCTGAGTAGCTGGGACTACAGGCGGGCACCACCATGCCTAATTTTTTTGTATTTTAGTAGAGATGGGGTTTCACCATGTTGGCCAGGATGGTCTCAATCTCCTGACCTTGTGATCCACCTGCCTCGGCCTTCCAAAGTTCTGGGATTACAGGCATGAACCACCGTACATGGTCGACAAGCTAATTTTTAAAAAATGTTTGTAGATGGCTGGGCATGGTAGCTCACACCTGTAATCCCAGCACTTTGGGAGGCCGAGGTGGGAGGATGGCTTGAGCCCAGGAGGTGAAGACCAGCCTACTCAAGATGGTAAGACCTTGTCTCTACAAAAATAGAAATAAATGTTAAAATTATAAATTATGAAAATAGAGCAATAAAAATACAAACATTAATTATAGGTCACAAAAGTAGAACTTTACAACTCCAGTGGCCCCAGCATCTCAGGAGGCAGAAGTGGGAGGCTTGCTTGAGCCCAGAAGTTCAAGGCTGCAGTGAGCTATGATCGCGCCACTGCACTCCAGCCTGTATGACAGAGTGAGACCCTGTCTCTATTTAAAAAAAAAAAAAAAAAAAAAACGTCAAGATGAGGCCTCACTGTGTTGCCCAGGCTGGTTTCAAACTCCTGGGGTCAAGCAGTCCCAAAGTTCTGGGATTGCAGGCATGAGCCACCGTGCCCAGCCGTAAGATTCTATTTTTTAAAAAGCATTTTGGTTGACAGGGGTGCCTATGAAAGAAAGAGAGGACCAGTTAGTTCAACAGCAAATCCATACATCCTGAGCCACAGAACAACCTAAGACCTGGGTGCAGCCAGCACATCGGGGCGCGGGTGTTTCTTTAATCCACTGTCTGGTGGAGCTCACTGAAGACGGGCATGGGGCGCAGCCAGCACGCGGGCCTGGCATGTTGGATCCGCTGTCTGACTGAAGACAGGCCGTTCTTCTAAATGAAGAATGCACAGCAGCAGTGTGGGGGCCTGCGCTGTTCCGGTCTGGCTTTCCTCCCATTCGGACATCGGCTTCATTTAGTGCCGAAAAGACAAAGCTGTGGGATTGACATTCCTTGTGTGGCACTGTTTGTTTCTCAGACCCCCAGGGGAGAGGACTTCAGCCAGAAGCCAAGTCCTCTGAGGACACTGCATCTCTGGGACCCAGGCGGGGGTGGGGGGCTGGCGCCCCGCTCTGGAAGGACAGCTTTGAGAAGAGGCCTGCCTGGCTCAAGCCTCTGGTCTCCTTGGGGCCTGTTCCTTCCTCCCGACTCACCCCAGCTTTCTAGGTGCACCTCAGCTGTCATTCAAGGCAAGTCCTGTCTTCACAGCTGGCAAAGGTAGAATGGGCCCTTTCCCAGGATTTGATTTCAGTTTCTTTAAGCAATTTCCTTTGGAAAACATCTAGGTAAGACACAGAATGGGCCCAGGAGCAAGGCCGTTCAGAAAATCCAAAGTAGGTGAGCTGTGTGAACTCACCGTTGAGGACTATGGATGCAGTCCTGGCTTCCAGGGTCTGAGCTGCACGGTTCTTACGTAGGGACAGAGAGCATCGCCATCCCTCCCACCCAGAAGGGCTTGGGCAGGCTGAAATGCTGTGAGTTCAAGGAGATGCCTTGGCCAGGCCACAGGTGCTCTCTGGGTTCCCCTCGGCACCATGTGGCCCCCAGTCAGACAGGCTGGACAAGAGCGGACAAACCTGACGTCCCTCCTCATTATGCGTATATATTTTTTGAGATAGCAACTCTTGTTGCTCATGCTGGAGTATAGCGGCTGGATCTCTGCTCACTGTAACCTCTGCCTCCCAGGTTCAAGTGATTCTCCTGCTTAGCCTCCCCAGTAGCTGAGACTACAGGTGTGTGCCACCATGTCTGGCTAATTTTTATATTTTTAGTAGAGACAGAGTTTTACCACATTGGCCAGGCTGGTCTTGAACTCCTGACCTGAAGTAATCCACCTGCTTCGGCCTCCTGAAGTGCTGGGATTATAGGTGTGAGCCACCGTGCCTGGCTCCCTCCTCATCGTAGTTTGACAGTAAAGAAGCTGGCTAAAACCCACCAAAACCAAGATGGAAACGAGAGTGACCTCTGGTCATCCTCACTGCTACATTCCCACAGCGCCATGACAGTTACAAATGCCATGGCAATGACAGGAAATTACCCTCTATGCTCTAAAAAGGGGAGGCATAAATAACACTCCTCCGGGCTGCTGGGTCTATTAACCATCCTTTTGTTCATTTACCTTCCTAATAAACTTGCTTTCACTTTATGGACTTGCCCTGAATTCTTTCTTGCTAGAGATCCAAGAATCCTCTCTGGGTCTGGATCAGGACCCCTTCCTGGTAACACTTGCACGGACGGTTTAACCAGGACTGTGCATTATGGATTTTGTCATCTATCCCGCAGGCCCTGAATGAATGAACCACCTCCCAGCACACAGGCAGATGCCAGGTTTTTCCTTCGTGGAGGGATGATGCTGGCTTTCTGTTTGCAGCAAGCTGTCTTGGATCACCCATGTGACTTGGGACAAGTGAAATCCCTGTTTCCTTATATGAAAGTGACAGTAAGGGAGGTAAGAGGACGGAACTTTGCCAGCCAGTCTCTAAGATCTACCTGCTCTGAGTCTCTGAATTTAAGCAGGACAAATATCCCTTATCTTTGCTAGGATGTGGACTGGGCTTCCACTGTCTCAGCCAGGGACTTCCAGGGCGTGCCCCCTCTTCGGATCTGCCCTGTGGGTCTGGGGAGGCTCCAGCTCCAGGCCCTCAGCTTACACCCATCAGAACCCCAGGAGAGGGTGGCCGGTCGGAGTGGGGCCTCCCTGCACTTGGTGCAGACCTCGGAACACCGGCAGCTACGGAGAAGTGTTCCCAGTGGGAATGAGGCTTCGTGGTCAGACCGAAGGGGAGGGGAGAAGTCCTGTCTCTTTTTCAGAAGGGATTCTCCTGGGGGCGGGGGTGGCAGAGCGGTTGGCCCCTGAGTGAAAAGCTGTGGCCCCGCTGGGCGGCCCGTGGCTCTAAAGGCAGCCCGAGGTCAACCTGCTGGCTTGTCCACGTGCAGGAGGACACTGTAGGAGTGTCCACTTGTCCACTGGAGGCGTGTCCACTTGTCCACTGGAGGCGGGGTCTGCGCCAGCTGCAGGGTGTCCAGCTGAGCGCCCAGTCCAGGGGGTGACCGGGGCCTGCGGAGCCCCTTGAGGACTCGCGAAGGCCCCCTTCCTCCGGGACAGGCATGAGCGCAAGAACCCGCCCTGCTGAGCCAACAGGCGGCTGCGGCCATACGAAGCGCATTAACGATTAATAATTTCCAGTTGTTGCTTCGCGGGCTCCCCGGGCCTGTGCACCTCCGCAGGCTCCTGCTCCCCCCGCCCCCTGACAGCCAGGTCTGAAGCTGTTAGCGCCTCCTGGGTCCCGCTGAGACAGGGCGAGGGGTCAACGCGCCCCCAGGGCCTCGGCCCGAGCGGGTCCCCGCATCCACCTGTAGCGGGTGGGGGTCCAGGCGGGGCTGGGGGTCTTTCCCGCCCACCGATGAGGGCGGGGCCGGGGGCGGGGCGGAGCCGGAGGGGCGGGGAGGAGGGTGGGGCCGAGTCGGAGGGCGGGGCGGGGGGGAGGGTGGGGGGGGGGGGGGGGGGGGGGGGGGGGGGCGAGAAGCCGGCGGCGCGCGGGCGGCTGGGCAGGGAGGGCGGCCGGGCGGGCAGCGGCCCCGGCCCGCGTCTGCGCCCCTCGCTCGCCCAAGACCCCGGCTTCGGTGCCTCGGGCCCCGTCGCGCGTCGCCATGGTGGGCCGGCTGAGCCTGCAGGATGTGCCGGAGCTCGTGGACGCGAAGAAGAAGGGCGACGGCGTCCTGGACAGCCCGGATTCGGGGCTCCCCCCCAGCCCCAGCCCCAGCCACTGGGGGCTCGCGGCGGCCGCGGGAGGCGGAGGCAGCGGGGAGCGCGCTACGGCCCCGGGGGCGCTGGAGCCCGACGCGGCGGCGACCCCCACGGCTCCGGTGAGTGGCCCCCGCAGGCTTCTGCTCCCAGAACGCGGCGGCTGTCGGGCCCGGGAACCCGGGTCTCGGAGCTCTGTGGGGCCCGGTATCCCCGGTCTCGGAGCTCTGTGGGTCCCAGGAACCCCGGTCTCGGAGATCTGTGGGACCCCGGGATCCCCGGTCTCGGAGCTCTGTAGGGAGCGCGTTCCTAGCAGGGAGCCCGGGGCGGGAGCCAGCTGGAGCCGGTGGCTGGAAAGTTGTCGTCGCCCGGGAGGCGCGGGAGCCCCGGGAGCGCAGAGCCGTCTCCTCCCTTCGGTGGCGGCCCCCGGGCTGCCGGGCTGCGGGGGGCGCCTGGAGGGAACCCTTGCCCGCCCGGACCCTGGCCGACACCCCGCGGTTTGGGCTCCTGGGGCTCCTGCCTCCTCCCGGCCGCCCCGCAGCGCCTTCGCCCCGCGATCCCCACCCCAGAGCGAAGGCCGCCTCCCCGACCTTTCCAGAAAGGTTCCGCCCCAGCCGCGGCCTCGAGGCCCCTCTTTGCCGGAACCCTGGGAACTTGATGGCTGGGAGGCCTCTGGGCGGTGGAACCTTTTATTTTGATTTAAAGTTTTCATGGAAGGAAAAAGCTCCCCCTAAACTGTAGCCCTGGGAGTCGCTCGGACGCCGGTGTCGCTGCGGAACCCACGGAACCCACATCCTGCCTGCGGTCTCAGCGACGCCCCAAGGGGGCTGCAGCCACGGGTGGGATGTCAGCCCTCCCCGGGTGAGGTCGGCGGCACGCCGCTGTTCCTGGGGACCCCGTGGGGGCTCCGCGGTGCTGGTGGTGTCGCGCTCCACCCTGACTCTGGGCTGGTATCAGGGCAGGGTCCTCACGTCCATCCCCAGGCGGGGCTGCTTCATCTCGGCCCTCAGTGCCCTCCCGTCCGGCCGCGTCCACCTGCCCCGGCCGCAGGACGCGCACCCCAGCGTTTCTGCTGCGCCCTCCGCCCTCGCACCCAGGGCCTCTCCCCGGAGTCGTGCTGGTCCCTCAGTGCCCCTCTCGCATCACCTCCGCCTTCCTTGATGCTCCCCAGGGCCTCCACGGCTGCATCCCCATCCCCCAGTGGCTGTTCGTTCATGTGTCTGCTGCCCCCTCTCCGCACCCCCGCCCCGTCACCCCAGCCCCAGCCTGGAGCAAAGGCGGTGCTCAGGGTGGGCAGGAGTGGAAGCAGAGAAGGCGAGAGAGAGCCAAGCGCCCTGGGGATGCGTGGAAGGCGGTGCTGGGTTCACAGAAGCACCCACCTTCTCATGGGGACACCTGGGAGGTGCCCGCTTCAGTTGGGGAGGGTCTGGCAGCCAGAGAGCTGGCGGGGGAAGCAGGGCCGGCTGTCACTATGTGGGGACTGTTTGCAGAAGCTAATGCCCACACCTTATGTACCCCGCACAATTCATCCCCCACACAATTCACCCCCACAAACGACTCACCCACACACACGATTCACCCCCCTACAATTCACCCCCCACACAGTTCACCCACACACACGATTCACCCCCCACACAGATTCACCCCCCACATACGATTCATCCCCCTATAATTCATCCCCCACACAATTCACCCACACACACGATTCACCCCCCCACACGATTCAGGCCCCCCACACACAATTCACCCACACACACGATTCACCCACACACACACAGTTCACTGACCTTGGTTCCCACCCACAGCCCCTCCTCCACCCCGGCCTTGCTGAGCCTCCACCCAGGCCCAGGATCTGGACCCTCAGGACCCACCCTCTGCCTCTCCCATCCTGGGCGAAAGTCCTTGACTTTCGCAATCCCAACCCCCTTTTGACACCTAGTCCTGGTCTCAGAGCCAACCTTCTAGCCTTCTAGAAAGGTTTGCCTCCTCCTCTGTCCTGGGACATGCGGGGGTGGGGCCGCCAACTCCACACCCTGGCCCAAATGCACATCCTTCTCTCAAACTAGGTAAAGAAAATGAGAGATCCCTGGTAAACAAAGGGCTTCTGGGCTCAGACTCTGCACTGTGTTTAACTTTGCCCGCTTAACACAGAGGCCTGGATTCCTGCAACCTGGTGAAAGCCAGCACCACCTTCTAGAACCTTCCTGGTTAATCAGAGTCCCACCCAGTGACCTGGCTGGAAGTGCTGCTGTGCTCTGCTTCGCTGAGCATGCTGGATGGTGGAGGGTGACAGGGAGAACATTTGGTGTCTTTTTTTTCTTTTTTGACACAGTCTCAGTCACCCAGGCTGGAGAACAGGGCACGATGTCAGCTTACTGCAACCTCTGTGTCCTGGGTTCAAGTAATGCTCATGCCTCAGCCTCCCCAGCAGCTGGGACTTCAGGCACCTGCCACCACGCCTGGCTAATTTTTGTATTTTTAGTACAGACGTGGTTTCACCATGTTGGCCAGGCTGGTCTGAAACTCCTGGGCTCAAGGGATCCTCCCACCTCCGCCTCCCAAAATGCTGAGATTACAGGTGTGAGCCACTGCGCTTGGCCAGATTGAATCTTTAGTTGAAAAACAAAAAGTTCCCTGGTGGCATATTTTTTGTTTTGGCCTTTCCTAGAGTGTTGCTGAGATGGAGCGCTACGGAATGGAGGGTTCTGGCGAGGTGAGCCTCAGCTCACCAAGGTTTCCCACCGCGTGGCCGGGGGCGGGGGCCGGCTGAAGCTACTTTCCTTTCCCACAACCTCAGCAGGGGAAGGGGGCATCACCTTGCTCTGCTGATACGGTCACAGGGCATGCGATGTGACTCCTCTGAGGCACATGACACAGTTATCGTCAGCCTGGTATTTGAACCCAGATCTCTCAGCTTCCTGCCCAGTGCTTCTCTGGCGTGCCCAGCAGGGGGGACACAGATCCCAGCCAGGCCCATCAGCTGGAGGCTCAGAGCCACAGCCTCCTGTTGGCCATGCTTCGAAATGGCCTGTGGGGGCCAGTGGCTCACGCCTGTAATCCTAGCACTTTGGGAGGCTAAGTTGGGTGGGTCACCTGAGGTCAGGAGTTCAAGACCAGCCCGGCCAACATGACAAAACCGCGTCACGATTAAAAATACAAAAAAATTGGCCAGGCATGGTGATGCATGCCTGTAATGCCAGCTACTCAGGAGGCTGAGGCAGGAGAATCGTTTGAACCTGGGTGGCAGAGGCTGCAGTGAGCCGAGATACCACTGCATTCCAGCCTGGGTGATGGAGTGAAACTCCATCTCGAGAAAAAGAATGAAAGAAAGAGAAAGAGAAGGAAGGAAGGAAGGAGAAAGAAGGAAGAAAAAGAAAGAGAGAAAAGAAAGAAAGGAAGGAAAGAAAGAAAGGGCTCACAAAAGCTCTAACTGCATTCTTCTCTGTCCTTAAGAATCCAGCGCCTCTGCCTCTGCCTCCCAGCTGTGCACTGAGGCTGTGCCCCCTGTCCTTTGGCGAAGGAGTGGAGTTTGACCCGTTACCACCAAAGGAAGTAAGGTAAATACAGAAATACAGCAGGCCCCACTTTCACTCTGTTCATAACAGTTCATTTTTCATTCGAGATATTAATGCTTGTTATTAAAAACATTAGTTAATTGCAGAAGTGTGCCAAAGGTGATTAATAGTTTGGTGGGCCCTCTGTTTTCTCTGCATTCTAACCAGTGCACTATATAGACATGCTTTTTACAGTAGGAATGAGATCGTGTTATGTGTAAAGCTCTGTGGCTTCTATTCTGCACGTCACATACCGTGGCCATCAGAGGCTTACATTTCTGTCAGAAATTAGTTCTTCTTTCCAGAAGCTGCTGCCCCCGACTCCCTGACCTGCAAACCCCTCTGTGAGGTAGTGCAACCTTGTCCCATGGTCAGTTTCACTAGGCAAGTGCCGGTCTTCTCCTGGGAACCATCTCATTCAGGACTACCTGGGGGCAAAGATGCATTCAGAGGCTCGGTTAAGGACAGGCCTCTTTAGAGACAGGAGTTTTACTTTTGGTACCTGGTGGTTTCATAGCTGGAGTTTCAGTTGCATTAACACAAAGGCCCTTTGACATGGAACAAAGGAGAGGTTCATCTGTTTGGAGACTTGCGGCCGGGACTTCTGTGCCTGTGAGGCTTGAATTCTGAACAAAATGGGGCCGGGACTTCATGACGTCTGCTCCCACCGGCCCTTCACTACTTACCTGAGGAGGCGAGACTTTGCCATCCGACTCACAAAAGAACTCTGATTCTTTTTTTTTTTTTTTGGAGACGGAGTTTTTCTCTTGTTACCCAGGCTGGAGTGCAATGGTGCGATCTCGGCTCACTGCAACCTCCGCCTCCTGGGTTCAGGCAATTTTCCTGCCTCAGCCTCCTGAGTAGCTGGGATTACAGGCACGTGCCACCATGCCCAGCTAATTTTTTGTATTTTTAGTAGAGATGGGGTTTCACCATGTTGACCAGGATGGTCTCGATCTCTTGACCTCGTGATCCTCCCGCCTCGGCCTCCCAAAGTGCTGGGATAACAGGCTTGAGCCACCGCGCCCGGCAAGAACTCTGATTCTTACTCACCCAGCCATGGGTAGGGGCTGCTTGGGGGCAGTGCTGTTAGATGCGTCTGTATGTGACGCTTGTACACAGTTTGGTATCTACAAAGCCATAATAAATCAGTAAAATGCATGAAAGATTTGCTTCTATAAGAAAACTAACTTCCAGGCCGGGTGCAGCAGCTCACTCCCATAATCCAGCACTTTGGGAGGTCGAGGCAGGCAGATCACGAGGTCTGGAGATTGAGGCTATCCTGGCCAACATGGTGAAACCCCGTCTCTAGTAAAAATACAAAAATTAGCCAGATGTGGTGCCACATGCCTGTGGTCCCAGCTACGGGGGAGGCTGAGGCAGGAGAATCGCTTGAACTCGGGAGGTGCGGGTTGCAGTGAGCTAAGACTGCACCACTGCACTCCAGCCTGGGCAACAGAGCGAGACTCCAGCTCAAAGAAAAAAAAGGAAAACTAACTTCCGGGCCAGGCACGGTGGCTCACGCCCATAATCCCGGCATTCTGGGGGACTGTAGCAGGAGGATGGCTCGAGACCAGCCTGGGCAACAATAGTGAAACCCGTCTCTACACAAAATACAGAAATTACCTGGGTGGCGCACACCTGTAGTCCCAGCTACTCAGGAGGCTGAGGTGGGAAGATCACTTAGGCCTGGGAGGTTGAGGCTACAGTGAATCGATTATGCCACTGCACTCCAACCTGGGCAACAGAGTGAGAACCTCTCTTTTTTTAAAAAAGAAAAAAATCAGCAGTATTACCTACAACAACAACAAAAAAAGAAAAAGAAAAAATAAGGCAGGTCACAATGGCTCATGCCTGTAATCCCAGCACTTTGGGAGGCTGAGGAGGGCAGATCACCTGAGGCTAGGAGTTCAAGGCCAGCCTGGCCAAGATGGTGAAACTCCATCTCTACTTTAAAAAATGCAAGAATTCACTGGGTGTGGTGGTGGGTGCCTGTAGTCCCCAGCTGCTTGGGAGGCTGAGGCAGGAGAATTGCTTGAACCCAGGAGGCGGAGGTTGCAGTGAGCTCAGATTGTACCACTGCACTCCAGCCAGCAGAGCAGGACTCCATCTCAAAAAATAGATGATAGACAAATAGATAGATGGATAAGAGCAGATTGATCCCTGGAGGAGACAGAGAAACTGGCCCCCACCCGTGGAGCAGTGGAATCCACCTCATTACGTAACAGTTACGGTGACAGCACTTGCCTTGCTCTGTGGAGGGCTCCTTTTATTCTCAGGCATCCTTTACGGAAAGGAAACGGAGGCTGGGGGAGTGCAGTGACTTGGCGGAGGTCTTAGCTTATGTGAGTGGGAGCGGGACCCAGGGCTGCTGCCCGCAGTGGCTGAAGGGATGCGGGGTGGGCTTTGGAGGCCTGCACCCTGCGTTTGAATCCCAGCGCCACCACTCAGCGGCACCGTGACCTGCGCCTCCGCACCTCGGTTCCTCTCTCAGGCTTGTTGGGAAGATTACATTGGAAAGTACTTGGAGAAGTTCCTGGCACACAGTAAGTGTTTTCTAGACCCTATGACCCTGTGCTGCTGCTCCCTGGAGCGGCCACTTTCTGCATGTGCAGCCACAGATGACTCCAGGTCACGGTAGGGACCCCAAGCCCCTGGCTAGAGGAGCGGCTTCACGCAGCCTTGTGTCTCCTGCCAGGTACACGTCCTCGGTCACGTACGACTCGGAGCGACACTTCGTGGACGGCGTGCAGCTGCCCCTGGGCCTGGCCGTGGCCTCCTGCAGCCAGACGGTCACCTGCCTCCCCAACTGCACGTGGCGCAACTACAAGGCTGAGGTGCGCCTGGAGCCGCGCCACAAGCCCGCACGCTTCCTCAGCACCACCATCGTCTACGGCAAGTACCCCAAGACCGTCTACACCACCACCCTGGATTACAACTGCCGCAAGACGCTGAGGCGGTTTCTGTCCAGTGTGGAGCTCGAAGCCGCGGAGCTCCTGGGCAGCGACGACCTCTCGGATGAATGCTGACTCAGCAGGCTGGGCTGGGGCTGGGCGGCTCTTCCGCTGCCCTGACCACGACCTCTCCAGGCTGGGCTGGGGTTAGGGTTAGGGTTAGGGGGACCGGCTCTTCCACTGCCCCTGACCTCACAGATGACTCAGCAGGCTGGGCTGGGGTCAGGGTTAGGGTTAGGGGGACCGGCTCTTTCACGGCCCTGCCCCCGACCTCTCCAGGCTGGGCTGGGGTCAGGGTCAGGGTCAGGGTTAGGGGGACCAGCTCTTCCGCTGCCCCTGACCTCACAGATGACTCGGCAGGCTGGGCTGGGGTCAGGGTTAGGGTTAGGGGGACCGGCTCTTTCACTGCCCTGCCCCCGACCTCTCCAGGCTGGGCTGGGGT